GGGAGGGAGGGTGTGTGTGTGTCTGCGCGCGCGCGAGCGCTCCAGAAGGCAGCGTTTGTCTGTGCTCCTGCCTCCGCGCGGAATCCAGGCCAGTGCGACGTGGAGCTCAATAAGAAGCTGCATGAATAAACACGAATAGAAAGTTGTGCTCAGCTAACCGAGGAAATCAGAGCAGTGCCAGGGCACCAACGTCCACGGTTCTTTTCACGTTGGGCCGGGGCTATAACCTCATCGGGGTATGCTAAAGATTAAGGGCAACCGGCAGGCAGGCTCCGCTCCCTCTGAAAGCCGGCTGTAATTGATCAGGGAGAGGGAGCTATAGATTATCGGAGCCCACCCCCCCAACCCCGGCTGGGGAAGGAGACGGGGCGATGGCGTGCACACAAAGGACCAGGCGGAAGGGCCCGGGCGGACATCTGGGAGCTAAAGCAGAGAGAGGGTTTCCAGGTGACTTTCCCTGGGCTCTCAGACAATGGCGTTGGACACACTGGGAGCCCTGCAATGAGGCCGCCTGCGTTATTCCGCATTAAGCGCCCGACTGGGGGAGCCCCCAGGCAGAGGGGAGCTCTGCGCCCGGCCGCAGGAGTCACGCGTGGCTGTCCTGAGCCCCAGCCCGAGCCCCTTTTGTCTTGCGCCGCTGTGTTTCCTCGCCCGTGCCCTGGCCGCGCCGAGCCGGGGGGCCGGGCAGCTGAGGGCAGACGCACACAGTTGTCCCCGGGCACACACCATCCCCCCGTGGCTGCGCTCCCCGCGGGGGCAGGGCTCCAGCCTGTCTCCCACGGCAGAGTCACGCATGGAAAGTTCCTCCCAGGGCCCGGTGCGCTGCGAGTTCCCCGCCAGCTGTCTCCTGTCCTGTGGCTTTCGCTTAAATATTGATCAAATGCACTTCAGCTTCCGAGTAATTTCATCTTAATCAACAGTCAAGCTTGTCACGGATAATAAACTAATACTGGAGAGGGCTTGTCGATAATGATCGGCCAGAGGAAGGAAAGAGGTAAGACCCCAGTTTGGCGCTTTCGATAGGCCCTATCTTCCCAGGGCAGATGGGTTTAGTGGACGAGAAGGCTTAAATGCAGATTTTCATAGATTTACACCTCAATCAGCCATTCAGGTTTCTCATGCAAATCCTGGAACAGCATCGGTTATCTATTATGGAGTCCAGCTTCTAAACAGAATATCATTAGTTGTAGCAGTTCCACATAGAGCACACAGAAACACCAATGCCTGATCTGTTATTCGTGGACACATATATTACACATCAAACACAGGCACCAGAACAGAGACCAGAATACAATAACACACACACACACACAAGCGCGCGCACGCACGCGCACACACACACACGATGCACACATCAGCCACACCACATAAATTCACAGTGGCCTGAAAGAAACCCTGGAGAAAAACATGTTCAAAATGTGTATATTTGGGCCTGCCTCTCTGGCCTCCTTCCAAATGACCAAGAGTCTTACAGGAGAAGGCGAACGTTTTTGTTTTCCAAAATGCAGTAACTTTCTGAAATTAAAAAAATAAATAAATGAAAGGGCCGGGGGGGAAGAAAAGAGAAATTAAAAATCATGCTCAGATATTCTCTGGAAGCAAACTGGTGACTAAGACAAGTTAGGAACAAGGCGTTATATATGTTTCGTAAACAGATGTGAAAATAGCCCTGGATCAGACGGTCTCTGGGTGGTTTCGCACCAACACAAGTGACATCCAGTACTGCTATTGTGTTGAGCGTGAAAATACAAAGTTAAACCCAAAACAGCTCGCCAGATCCAGGCAGGATGTTGCTGTGAGTTGACGCCCTAGAAACGCAGATACTGGACTCTAGAATGAGGAAAAAGAAACTTCCACATCTCCGAATCTTTTCAGGTATTTAATTCTGTTACAAATAGCAGAGTCATAATGATGCTCATCAAAAAGAGAAGTAAAAATATTGCACTTTTTAAAATCCATAAATAATGTAGACAATTGCCCTGGCAATAATCTGGAGTGACTCCTAGGTGCTGTGATTGTCTCTGCAGAGGCGTCTGCTGCTTCCTAACCCATTTTAGGGATGACGAAATAAATAGAAATAAGAGAACAATTCCCAATGTCAGATACATGCGAGGGTGCAGCTAATTTGAGAGTATTTTGCTCCCTGTTAGCATTTTCCCTGTTCTTTAAATCTGCATGGGGGAGGAGAAAGACTAATAATATAGGTTTATCCCCCAAGCGATGCAATCTGAGGCATCTTTTCACTCTCCAAACCAACGCTGGTGTTGCATACTTCAGGTTATTTTTAAAAAAATCTTCCTATGCTACAAAAGGAACTTACCCATATTATTTTGCGCTGGAAAACAGCACACAGCGTGTTAGATACAAGCTACACATAACATCAAGAGAACACCAGGCTTGCCTTGCACATAACTGAATATCTAAAGGTTGCGCCTTCATTCAAAGGCAAAATTGCATTTTAATAAAAGTGGGAAAGCCCGTGGCAGGCTAAGCGTGGTATTCATTTAAGAATTAAATTTCTCATTTTTCTTTGGCAAGGAACTACTCTGTCAGAGAGCTGGAGATATTTCTAAAATGAGGGGGTACCATAGGGATTTTAATCTATGCGAGCAAATTCACTGCGTTTCACTACTAGTGGGGAGGGGGGGGGTTAAGCGCTTTCTTGTCTAGCAAGGTGTGTGCTAACAGAGCAGCAAAGCAAACGCATCGGGCTTGGAGAGCTTCCAGGTAACCAGGGACAAGAGAAGGACAACTTAATAAATGTAATCCAAAAAAAAAAAATCCACAAGCACAGAGCTCTCACACCTTCAGGTTTGCTCTCCTTGTAGCGACTCACTTGAGCACACTGGTCTTCAATATTCACTATTGCTCAAACAGTCCAGGATTTAAAGCATCTAGGCAGTCTTTCCTAATCGCCCCGATGGTAAACACGTTCTCAGGACCTGCTTAGACTGAAAGGAAGCAGCGCAGATACACAGGGAATGCTCCCAAGGCTATGAAACGTAGACACAATATATGTACGCTTCAGTTTCTTTCGAAAAAGCATCGCTAATTCTCTTTGGACTGAACTTCAAATATTAGATGGGTTTTTCTTCTGCCCATATAGCTTCCTTTTGTAAATGCCTGTAGTATTTTTCAAAGATGTCAGGAGCTTGCCATTAAACTACCTTGGAGGGGGTGGGGGTGGGCAGGGAACACAAAGGCAAATCGGAAGTCAAAATTAGTTGTGAAATGGTCAAGAAATTCCAGGCACGTTTCACACTAATCCTAATAAGTTTCAAAATTGTATTTTCAAGTAAAAACAAGTTTAGAATTCACCTCTTGTTACTTCACGGTTGAATAATCTGCCTAGGGCAAAGCAAAACTTTAATGCAAAAGGTGACGCTGAAATACTGTTAGTCATGCAAATAAAGGCTTCTTTCAGCACATTACAATATACTTAGGATTCAAGGGGAGGAGCTGTAACCTGATTAGGGAGAGTAGTTTATGTTTTTGTTTTCATTTAAAGCTACAAACAAACACAGAAATGTCTTAAACGCTCTCTGGAGAAACCTCCTAATCTAAACAGATGGGCACAGTAATGATTTAGGCTCTCGGTTTAAAAAAAATGCGGGGCGAAGGCAGGATTTGAAAGGACACCATTGTGTCCTGGAAACCCATTCGGAGCAGTGGTTAGATCAACTCAAGGGGGCAAAGTTTGCCCAGACAAAAGTGATGTTTTCTTTTCCTTCCCCCTCACAGCCGCCTCCCTCGCACCGAGGCAGACTTTAAATGCAAAGTTAATTTTATCAATTTTTCTCCTTAAAAAACAAAAAAATCCCCCAAGCCCTAATTCTCCATTTTCTCTCGACAAGCACAGCACTGTACGTCAAACACACGGAAAGGAAAAACGAAAACAAAGCAACAGCAGCAAAAAACCCAGTCCCACCTAGCTGCTCTATATACACAAGGAAAGCCAGCTTCCACTGGTGTGCGCTGCCAAGGCAGCCTCCGAGCTTAGCACAGAGAAACGTGAATAATCCGGACTGACTCACCTAACCAAGCACGGCTTAAAAATCATGTCTCAGTTAAGATGTAGGGGGCAATATATACAGAGATGGATATATTTTGCAATAGACAAAAACACCAACATCGCTGAATAGATAAGAAAATGGAATACTGTATTTGATTTAGAAAGTTTGTACATATAGATAAACACGCAGTTAAGGAAACAATAGTATAAGCGTCCTACGTGGAGTTTAAGAAGAGACCCCAAAGCTGCTAGGAAATACTCAAAATAGCTTTTGCATAAGATAACTACAGTTGCACCCTAAGCTTTTCTTCTATCGCTGAGGTCCCTTTTTAAAACCTAGCACGTCAGCTCTTGACAGCTAAGTTTGTGCAAGGAACACAAAGTCTAGGAAAATAAAAAGAAGAGAGAGAGAGAAAGAGAGAGAGAGAGAGGGTGGGAGGGCAGAAGACAGAGAGCAAGAGAGAGGAAAAAAGAAAGAGCAGAGTAAATATCATATACAGGCATTTCTACACATATATTACAAACTGGGAAAATGACCGCATCATTAAGATATACATAATTCATATAAAATTTTGAAATAAAAATAAAAATCTGTTACAGTCGTAACTATTCTTTTTCCACATTTATAACCAGTACCCACAGAGGCAGTGACAGAAGTGTAGAAAAAAGGTGCTTACGAATAAAATGATTGTCTGCTGAACAAAAAAACAGAAGATTGCATCTTGGCGGGACCATCACTTGGACTTAAAAAAAAAACAGAGAAAGAGAGAGATAAGGAGACAGGGGGAGAGAGAGAGAGAGAGAGAGAAAGAGAACCAACAAAAAGGCGATAAACATTTGTTATTTCCCTCTTCAAGGAGTTCCTTTTTAATTTTTTTTAATTTTTTTTTGTACAAATTCGATCGGCGTTTTTGTTGTTGTTGTTGTTGTTGTTGTTGTTGTTGTGTGTTGCTTTTCTTTACTATAGAGAATATTTTTTCCCAGATACAAATTTAATCATCATCATCATCATCATGCAAGTGGGTGAAATGCGTCCATGGAAAAGCGCAAAGGAGAAAACCGTGCTCGTCCTAAAAAGAATACAATTGTCACTTTTTTTTGTGGTGTGTGTTTTTTTGTTGTTGTTGCTGCTGCTGTTGTTAATATCATGATTATCATCCCCCCCCGCTGCAGCACCGGCGTGTGTGACTGCCTGTCCAAGTGGGAGCTCCATCTCTCGGCGGTGGCGGCGGCGGTAGGGTCTCGGCTCTGGTCCCTGTCTCTGGCTGCTGCCTCGCTCTGCTCGGGCGGTGTGCGTGTGTGCGTGCGTGTGTGTCCTGATGCTAGGGCTGGGTTTGGTTTGGCTTGGTTGGCTTTGGGTGGGGGACGGGGTAGCTTGGTCGCTTGGCCGGGAGGCTTGCCTCTATCATACATCACATTCCGAGTCGCTGGAGGTTACCGAGAGGATGGACGTGCCAGTCTCGGCTCTTTCTGTCAAGCTGGAGACGCTGGTAGTGGGGCTGGCCGCCGTGGACGGGGACTCGGCCGAGCTGTGCGTGGGGCAGCCGGGCTCGGCCAGCGACCGCATGCCGCTCTGTCCTATGGCCTGGTGCTGGAGCCTGCAGCGCGCCGGGAGACAAAACAACAGCACAGGGCTCCTGAGAAACAGCCCCAGAGCCAGCCGCCGGCTGCCCCTTCTCCCAGCCCCGCACGCACACAAACACACACTCAGCAACCAAGCGGCCTCTGGCTGTGAGCTGCCCCCCTCCCCAACCCACCCACCCACCCACCCAGGC